CCCTCTCTCCCTCTCTCCCTCTCCCTCTCTTTCTCTCTGTCTCCCAGAACTTTCTAAACAATTCAATACGATCGGTGCCAAGGTTTGCCCGACTGACCATAATACTTTAGCGCCCAATGTGGCTCCACGCCAAGCCTCCCGTCGAACCTTGAACGTCCAGCTAGAGTGGCTGCCGGACCTCTGGTCGCGGCGAACCTGGGCTGGCGCGATGATAATAATGGCAATGTACAGGGGCATTGTCACCCGGACCTGCCGGATCCGGACGCAAGGGGCCGTAGCGAGATATTTTGGGAGAGCGTGGATTCATTTTTACGGTTAACTTCAATTGTGCGTTTCGAACTTTAAAGTGTAGAGGACATTTCGATGCATTAACAAATCACTAAATGAAAGGCGATTAATGTTTTTTTTTTTTGTTTATTGCGCGATGCACCTTTGACTCACAGGCTTTGAGTGTATCTTAAACGATGCAAATTTTAAATGTAAAAGTTGACATATTTGCAGCTTTGCTGAAAACAAAATAATTCCCCAGAAAGGTACGCAAAGAGCCAGCCCATTCTTCCTCAGCGACGCGCAGTCGTTTCCTAGAGCTTTGGCTTTACCGGAATGGCGTTGTTTGGCATGGGGCTCTTTCCATCGTCCTCCACTATATCCTCCACTGTGCTTGACCCTGCCCATTGCCAGGGTGTTGGTATTCCTATACGCGATGGCGCGCACTCACTTGATACACCCACCGCCACCAGCGGACGGAACAGCCGAGGCGGAAACAGTTGGCGTCGTTATTGCGTTTCCCCTGCTATCATCGAAGATGAACTTTAAGGGCTTTGATGTTCTTCTTGTCGTTTAACCATAGAAAGGGACGCGACGTCGATGTCGAAAGTTTGTCTGATCTCGGGACTTAATTCGAGGTATAGTCGCGACAAATCCTCGCATATCCTCGACAGTCAATTTCTGACTGGGCTTGCCAATGATGCAAGATGCAACACAGTAAGAGCACTCTCTTGCAAGCTGCGTGTCGACTCTGATTTATTAGGTATAGCCTCGACCTTGACCCTTCAACAGGGTCGCCCCAATCATGGGCAGGTCGGAGGGGAGGGAGTACCCCGCCGACCCGGAGGGCTCGTCCTGGCCGACCTCGGCTCCGGCCCTGACCTTGATCGACCCTACTGGAGACCTTGATGGCGCACGGTCTCGACCACGGTCTCCTGGCGAAGGCCGAGCTGAAGGTCGCACTGCGACCACAAGCGTGAAGCGCGGGGTGGGGGTAAGTGAAATGGGGG